CAGAAGGAAGGTTGGGCAATCTACTTCTGTAGTGATACTGCCTTGGAAACCCAAAGAGGGGTTGCTATGAGTCAGGTCCGACTCAATAGCACATAACAACAACAAGCAAAACACTCTTATCCCCTTGCCTCTTACCCTTAGTAACCACTAATAATCTTTGGTTTCTGTATATTTACTTATTTCATATAGGTGAGATTGTACATGATTTGTCCTTTTGCAACTGGCTTATTTCACTCAGCATAACATTTTCAAGGTTTATCCATGTTGTAGCATGCTACAGGACTTAATTTCTCTTCAAGACTGTGTGATATTCCACTGTATGGATATACCACATTTTGTTTATCCATTCATCAGTTGATGAACATTTTGGTTGCTTCCTCTTTTTGTCTACTGTGAAAAGTGCTGCAATGACCATTGGTGGACAATGTGTTTGTTCCTCTCTTCACTTCTTCTGAGTAAATACCTAGAATTGGGATTGCTGGGTCATATGGTAGTTCTATGTTCAACTTTTTGAGGAACTACCAAACTGTTTTCCACAGTGGCTGTACCATTTTACATTCCCACCAGCAATGGATAAGGGTTCCAATCACTCCACAACCTTCTCAATATCTGTTTATTATTCCATTTCTTTCATCATTGCCATTCTAATAGAGGTGAGGTGGTATCCCACTGTAGTTTCGATTTGCATCTCTCTAATGTCTAATGAAGTTGAACATCTTTTCATGTGCTTATTTGGACATTTGAATGCCCTTTTTAGTAAAATTGTGTTTAAGTCCTTTGCCTATTTTTTGATTGGATTTTTGTTGCCATTGTTGTTTTGTTTTTTAAGTTATGTAAGTTTTTTTTACAATGTATTTTGGATATTAGACCCTTATTGGGTTATGTTGTTGTTGTTGTTATGTGCCATCGAGTGGGACCTGATTCATAGCGACCCCTCCTTGGGTTTCCAAGGCAGTATCACTACGGAAGTAGATTGCCCAACCTTCCTTTGGTTCCTTAAAATCTCCAAATCTGTAGGTCATCTTTTTTCCTTTAAATTTTATTTCTTCTGCTGTAGTTGAGAATATGTACAACAAAACATACACCAGTTCACAAGTTTCTGAATGTACAAGTTAGTGACATTAATTACATTCTTCAAGTTGGGCAACCATCCTCATCCTTTCCTGAGTTGTTCCTCCCTCATTAACATAAACTCACTGCCCCCTAAGTTTCCTACGTAATCAAGTTGCTGTTGTAAATTTGATCCTGTATAGATAGTTCTTAAAAGAGCATAATGCTCAGGGCAGACCTATTTTACTAGTTAAGCTAAACCATTGTTCAGTTTTAAGAAGTCTTCAGGGGGTATTTTTAATTCAAGATTTAAAGATTATGTTGGGGCAATAATTTCAGGGTTCATCCACCTTCCATGGCTCCAGAAAGTCTAAAGTCCATGAAAATTTGAAATTCTGTTCTGTTTTTCCCCCTTTTCAATCAGGATTCTTCTCTGGAATCATTGATCAAAATGTTTAGTAATAGTAGCCATCCACTTCTCATGCTCTCATGGCAAGGGAGGCAGTTGTTCATGGAAGCAATTAGTCACACATTCATATGACTCATATTCTTATTTTTTATTCTCCTTTTTCCACTGTTGTTCCAGGTGAATAGAGACCAATTGTACCTTGGATGGCTGCTTTGCAAGATTTTAGGAACCCACTCACTACACAATGAACTAGGAGGTAGAAAAGAAGCACTGACCATATTATTAGGCCAATTAACCGGACTGTCCCGTGAAACCTTAGATCTCCAAACCAAAGAACCAAATCCCATGAGGTTTTGGTTGTATATAAGCAGCCTTAGTAGCTATTCTTCTTTCTTTCTTTTTTTTGGGGGGGGGAGTCATTGTTGTAAATATATCTATCACACAACTTTTGCCAATTGACTTTTTACAGGTGTTTAACTTATTGGCAATAATTACAAAATCAGCTGTGCATTCCTACCCTTAATGAGATTTTTCCATCACTGTTAACCTGCCTTTCCCCGTTCCCTCCAGTCCCTGACAATTACTAATAAATTTTGGTTTCTATATGTTTGCTTTTCTTGTCTTCTTATATAAATGAGGTCATACAATATCTGTCACTTTGTGGTTGATTTATTTCACTCAGCATAATATTTTCAAGCTCTTTTTTTCTTTTATCTATATTGTAGCATGCATCAAGACTCCATTTCTTCTACTGGCTGAGTAGTATCCCACTGTATGTACATACCACATTTTGTTTATCCATTTATCTGTTGATGGACTTCCAGGTTGCTTGTACCTTTTGGCTATTGTGAATAGTGCTGCAATGAACACTGGTGTGCAAATCACTTTTTGCATCTCTGCTTTCAAGTCTTTTGGTTATATACCCAGGAGTTGAATTGCAGGAGTCATTTGATAGCTCTATGTTTAGTTTTTTGAAGAAATGCCACACTGTTTTCCACAATGGTCATACCATTTTGCATTCCCACTAGAAATGGATAAGGTTCCAATTTCCCCATATCCTTACCATTATTTCCCCATATCCTTGCCTTGCCACTATTTGTCATTTTTTTATTTTATTTTATTTTTTTAAGTCTCAGCTATCCTACTGAGATGTAGGCTGTCTTTTCACTTTTTAGGTAAAGACCTTTGGTGAGTTGTTGTTGTTATGTGCCGTCGAGTCAGCCCTGACTCATAGTGACCCCTCCTTGGGTTTCCAAGGCAGTATCACTACGGAAGTAGGACTGCCCAACCTTCCTTCCGACTTTGGTGAGTGAAGTATGTAATTGTTATGAGGTCTTATTTATCTATGTTGTGTTTTACTGCTTGTGCTTTTGTTGTCATATGAATTATCCACTGTTAAAAGCTAAGTTCTACAGACACATCTCAATTTTTTTCTTAGAATTCTATGGTTTTAGTTTTTATATTTTGCTCCTGATAGATTTTGAATTGGTTTTTGTGTATGGGGTGAGGCATAAATCCTGATTCTTTCTTGTGTAGGTGAAAGTCCAATTTTCCCAACACCATTTATTGAAGAGATTCTCTCTTCCTTATGAATGGACTCAGCCTTCTTATTGAAAATTAGTTGACCATAGATCTATAGATTTATTTATGGACTCTCAATTCTATTGGTAAATATGTCCTCTTTGCAGATACATTGATTTTAAAAGACTAAAAACATTATCCAAGTAATACATGTTCATTTTTTGCATATAAACTTCCTGACTTCTTCTTCTTTTTTTTGCCATACTACTGAAGCATAAGTTTCAAGGCCCATCTTTTGTAGTACAGAACTCTGTCAGGAACTTAAATAATAATTCCTGGAATTTTGTGGCTTGGATCAGGTGCACCTTAATCTTCAAAGGGATGTCTTTGCTCTGTAACACTTTAAAGAGGACTCTTGCAGCAGATTTGCCCAGTGCAGTACAACATCTGATTTATTGACTGCTGCTTCTATGGGCTTTGATTGTGGATCCAAGTAAAATGAAATCTCTGGCCACTTCAATATTTTCCCCATTTATCATGGTGTTGCTTATTGGTCCAGTCATGAGATTTTTTTTTTTCCAATGTTGAGATGTAATTCATACTGAAGGCTGTAGTCTTTGATTTTCATCAGTAAGTGCTTTCATTGAATCTTCTTTGTTTTCAGCAAACAAGGTTGTGTCATCTGCATATGACAGGTTGTTAATGAATCTTCCTCCAATCCTGATGTCACATTCGTCTTCATATAGTCCAATTTCTTGGATTATTTGCTTAGCCTACAGATTGAATAAGTATGATGAAAGGATACAACCCTGATCTGAGGCAGAATCACTACGGAAATATATTGCCCAATCTTCCTTCTGAGGAGTGGCTGGTGGGTTTGAACCACTAGCCTTCTGGTGCTTTAGGCACTATGCCACCAGAGCTCCTGATCTATGTAGATAGATCATAAAAAAAGCATGGTGCTCAAGGAAGACATTCTTTACTAATTAAGGTAAACTACTGCTTTATTTAAAGAAGACTTTCAATCAAAATATCAGGGGATATTTTTGGTTTAAGGTGTGAAGGTTACCTCTCAACAATAATTCTGGGCATTCATCCAGCTTCCACGGCTCTAGAAAGTCTGGATTCCACAAGAATTTGAAATTCAGTTCTGCACTTCACCTCTTTTGATTAGGATTCTTCTGTAGGATCTTTGATCAAAATACTTAGGCCAGATCATTTTTTGTTGTAAGAAATTGTCTTCTACCTTGTAGGATGTTTAGCAGCACCCCTGATCTCCGTCCACTAGATGTTAGTACTCCTTCTCCCCCAGTTGTCACAACAAAAACTGTCTGGAGACATTACCAGGAGAGGAGTAAAATCTCCCCTATTTGAGAACCATTGTTCACTCCATAGCAGGGTGGTAGACAAGGTTACCACAGAGACTAGTTATTGAATTACAATAGAATATAAAGCAGATGCCATTATTGTTATTGATGGCAGTGGACTTTGCTGTTAGGAAAGATTGCAAACAGTAACATCAACCTCTGATCTAACCTGAAGATAGATGAGCTTAAAGCTTCCTGCTTTTGCAATGAAGAGGACATTCCTTCATATTTGCTGAGTAACTACTATGAACCAAATCCTGTTGTTAGGTGTCCTTGAGTCAATTCCAACCCACAGTGACCCCATGTGACAGTGTCGAACTGCCCTAGGGTTTTCTAGGCTGCAATCTTTACGGGAACTGATTGCCAGATCTTTCTGTTGTGATGAGTTCATACTGCCAAACTTTTGGCTTCCAGCCAAGTGCTTAACTGGTGTGCTACCAGGGTTCCTTAAACCCTGTTCTAGACATCTGAGACAAAGCAAATACCAAACCAAAAATCTCTGTCATCACTGAGCTTACCTTCTATAGACAATAAACAAATAAGGGAAATACAAGGGAGGGCGGATGATAATAAAGACCATAGAGGAAAAAGTAAGTGGGGGAAGGGACACATAGGATGGCAGTGGGGTTACAGTTGTAAATAAGATGGTCAGCATGGCCTCACTGAGAAGGTGACGTCTGAGCAGAGGCTTGCAGGAGGGAAGAGACTGTGCCCAGCAGATGTCAGGTGGTAGAATGTTGAATAGAGACAGCCAGTGCAAAGGCCCTGGGACATCCTGGTCAGGAGCAGGCAAAACAAGGAGGCCAGTATGTCTGGAGTGGAATTAGGGAGTGGCAATGAGATCAAAAGGCAGGTGGGGAGAGAACAGTGGTGCTGTCCATGCTGACCTAGTCAAGGCCATTTGCACCAATCATGCCAGGATTGAAACTGGAATTATCAAGCTCCTATTTCCAGCTTTGCCAGGTGGCTTGAACCACTTTCTCCACTGCATGAGGGCCTGCCCTAGAATCATGTACCTTCCTCACCTGAGTCCGTGACTCATCTAGCCTGCTGGGTTGGTGCTTTCTGAAAATGAGGAGGTGGGAAGGGCAGGTTGAGATCTATAAGTGGAGGAGATCTGCTGGCTCCAAACTATGTCTCAAAGAGTTGACATTAAATAAGCTACCTTTTGCCTCCTCTGTGACAGAAATATCATGCTGTTTCTGGTCTCGATCTTCCTTGTGACAGCCTGTGTGTTGGCCTCTGGGGTTGCACTGTATGTAACTTGCTACAACCTTCTCATAGCAGACTTCCCTGCTGCAATCGGTCACCCCGTGAAACTGCGAGTCTTATATTGCCTTTTCCTGCTGTTGCAGACATGGGTGAGTTTTGTATTTTGCATCTCCTTCTGCTGAGGGGTTAAGGAGGGAGTTGGGAAAAACATCTACCACAAGCTTCTAAGTTGAATGAACACTAGTATCACATAGGCCATTGTAGAGGCTGGTGGCAGTCTCAAGCCGGAATAATCCTCAGGGCAGTTCTCAGCCTCTCCCAGAGCTTCTCCAGCTGGACCGGGGGTTATACAATACACAGAAGATTCAAAGGACGATTCGCTTTCCCCATTAACAGAAAAAAAAAAAAAAGATAGGGATGAATTTTTATTAATATTTTGGCTCCAATTACTACCTTGCTAGCCAGAGCAGGGAAAAAGCAAAATAAACATGTAGCAAATTAGTAAACTAATACAGATGAGGGAAGCTATAAAATGTGATTTAAAAAAATATTTTGTGGTTTGGGGATGTGGACAGCTGTTTATGTAATGTAGTCAGATTCTGCTAGTTCTTGGCTTGTATATTTAATAGAACACATGTAAATATATCATGGTGGGAATTGTGTAAGTACTGCCAAAAACAACGTACTGGACCAAAAGGTGGAAACAATCTAAATGCCCATCAACAGACGAATGGATAAACAAACTGTGGTACATGCATACAATGGAATACTACTCAGCCAATAGGAGAAATGAAGTCTTGAGACATGCTAAAACATGGATGGAGATTAAAGACATTATGCTGAATGAAGTAAGCTAATTACAAAAGGACAAATATTGTATGACCTCACTTATATAAAAAACCAGAAAAACCAAACTTACTGCCATCAAGTTGGGTCCGACTCATAGCAACCCCTCCTTGGGTTTCTGAGGCGATATCAATACGGAAGTAGATGGCCCCGTTTTGTTTCTGAGGAGTGGCTGGTGAGTTTGAACCACTAACCTTCTGGTTAGCAGTCAAATACCTTAGGCACTATGCCACCAGAGCTGCTATAGAAAGAAAAGCAAAGCAAATTTATAGAGACCAAAGTTTATTAGTAGTTATTAGAGGTAGGAGGGTAGAGGAAAAGGGGAGTTAACGGTGAAGGAAAAATCACATCGGTTAAGGGTGGGGCTGCACAGCTGATTATTGTAAGTGTTGTCAATAAGTTGTACACCTTTAAAAGGTTGAATTGGCAAAAGTTGTGTGATAGATACATTTACAATAGTGACAAAGAAAAAAAAGAAGTAGCTGCTGAGGCTGCTTATGTACAGCCAAGTACCACATAGGATTTGGTTCCTTGGTTTGGAGGTTTAGGGTCATGGTTTCATGGGACATCCCAGTTAATTGGCCTAATAGCATTTTCAGTGTTTCTGTTCTACCTCCTAGTTGAGTATATAGTACCTGGGGTTTTAAAGGAAGATTGGGCAATCTACTTCGGTAGTGATACCACCTCAGAAACCCAAGGAGGGGTCGCTATGAGTCAAATCTGACTTGACAGCAGTGAGTTTTTTTTTGAGTGAAGGGTATTCAAAGTTTGCAAGCAGCCATCAAAGATACAACAATTGGTCTGTATTTCCCTGGAGCAACAGTGGGAAAAGAAGAGTCAGGAATAGGAGCAGGATGTGGAATATGGGGCTAATTGCCTCCAGGTACAACTGCCTCTTCTGTCATGAGACCAGAAAAGCTGGATGGTGCCCAGCTACAATTGCTGAACATTTTGATCAAAGATTCTGTAGACGAATATTAAATCAAAAGGGGGGAAATGCAGAACAGAACTTAAAATTTCAAATGGACTTTAGACTTCCTGGAGCCATGAAGGCTGGATGAACATCTAAAACAATTATCTTGAGATAATCTTTACACTTTAAACCAAAAAATATCCCCTGAAGTCTTCTTAAAACTAAACAATAGTTTAACTTAACTAGCAAAAAATGCCTGCCTTGAGAAGTATGCTCTTTTTTTTTGTATGTGAACATTTCATTGTGCTTTAGGTGAAAGTTTAAACAGCAAATTAGTTTTTCATTTGATAGCTCATAGACTAATTGTTCAGTGACATTGTTTACATTCCCAGCAACATGTCAGCACTCTCCCCTTTTCAATTCATCCAATTCCCCTGCCCCTTGCTACCTTCTCATCTTTGTTTTTGGGGGAGATGTTGCCCTTTTGGTCTCTTAGAGTTGACTGTGCTAAGAAGCACATTCATCCTAGGTATTATTGTTTATTTTATATATTATTTGGATGAAAGGTGGCCTCTGGGAGTGGCTTCAGTTCCAAGTTAGAAGGCTGTTTTAGGGCAATGGTATCAGGAGATTCTCCAATCTCTGTCAGACCAGTAAGTCTGGTCTTTTTAATGAATTTGAATTTTGTTCTACATTTTCACCCACTCTAACTGAGACTTCTATTGTGTTCCTGGGAGCTCTGGTAGCATAGTGCCCAAGGCACTTGACTGCTAACCAGACGGCTGGTGATTCAAACCCACCAGCCACTCCTCGGAAGGAAGACTGGGGAATCTACTTCTGTAGTGATAAAAACCAAACCAAACACAAGGCCGTTGAGTCAGATCCGACTCATGGTGACCCCTCCTTGGGTTTCCAAGGTGGTATCACTACCGAAGTAGATTGCCCAACCTTCCTTTGGAAACCCAAAGAGGGGTTGCTATGAGTTGGATCCACCTCTATGGCAGTGAGTTTGGAGTTTGGTTTATTGTGCTCCTGGTCAGAGTGCTCTGTAGTGGTAGCTGAGCACCGTCTGGTTCTTCTGGTCTGAAGTCAGAGGAGGCTGTGATTCATGTGGGCCATTAGTCTTTGGGACTAATTGCTTCATTGAGTCTTCAGTTTTCTTCATTTTCCTTTGCTCCTGATTGGAAGAGACCAATAGCTGCATCTTTGATGGCTGCTCAGAAGCTTTTAAAACCCCAGCCACTACTCATCAAACTAGGATGTAGAACATTATCTTTATGTACTATGTTATGTCAATTGAGCAAGAGGTCCCCTGAGACTATGGTCCCTAGCCTTCAAGCCTAGTGGCTCAGTCCCAGGATGTGTTTCTTTATGTCTAAGAGTTTCTATAACTGTGCTCCCATATGCTCTATTATATATTTGAATATACATGCAGCACTTACAGATATGTATGTAGAAATATCCACAACCATACCTTTATGTGCATTTGGGTGTACTCCGTATGATCTCCTGCATCTATTTATAATATGTATCTACTTTGTATCTCATCATGAATTATTGCTTGTTATTACTGTGTGCATTCTCCCTTTTTAAGATTTATCTATATGGAATCAAATTGGCAACAACAAGTAGAAAAATTATATAGGCACCTTAGGGGCCAGTGATTGTCTGTTAATGGGCAGAAACAACTCAGAAAAGGAAGGTTGGAATGGTTGTACATCTCAAAGAATGTAATCAATGTCAGTGAATAGTACATGTAGAAATGGTTGAATTGGTGTATGTTTGCTGTGAATATTGTCAACACTAACAACAACAACAACAACAAAGAACCCACTACCATCGAGTCAGTTCTGACTCCTAGCAACGCCATTGGGTTTCTGAGGTGGTAAATCTTTTCAGAAGTAGATTGCCCAGTCTTGCTTCCACAGAGTGGCTGGTGGGTTTGAACCACCAACCTTCTGCTTAACAGTCAAATGCCTTAGGCACTGTGCTACCAGAGCTCCTAACAGCAAAATAAATTAAAAGAAAGAGACAGAATGTACTGACTTTTCTAAAGGGCTTACAGAAATTAGATATATAAAATGTTTTTCTTAAGTTTCTTGCATAATGAGAAGTGATTGCAGGCCTCTGCACTCATGAAAAATCTTGATGAAGAAGAGCCCTGGGGCAAAGGCATTTTATCTCCAAGGTCAGAGTTCACAAACCCAAACTCACTGCTGTCTAGTCGATTCCGACTCATAGCGACCCCTCCTGGGGTTTCTGAGGTGGTATCTCTATGGAAGTAGATTGCCCAATCTTCCTTCTGAGGAGTGGCTGGTGAGTTTAAACTGCCAGCCTTCCGGTTAGCAATCAGATGCCTTAAGCACTATGCCACCAGAGTGCCTAGATTTCACAAAAGGCTATAATTTAACCTTTGACTCTTGGGTTTATTGTTCAGGCTCCCAAATACATTGGCTCAGTTTTCTCATCTGCAAAACAGGGATAAATCATAGTTTTTAGCTCATAGCATTTTGTGGGAATTCAAGGAATTAAGCTATGCAGAGTACTTAGTATTGAGCCAAGGTCTGAGGTTGCCAAGAAAGACACAACTTACCCACAGGCATTGATGGAACAATGATTTACTCACATAGAGAAGGGACAGAGTGAGACCAGCTTCAATAGCAGGCACCAATCCATTAAGGCCATGGGTCACTCCCTGCAGTTGACACAGGCTGATAGTCTGTACACACCCCTTATGTTTGGAGTTGAAGGACTCCATCCCCTCTCTGTCAGAAGCAGATACAGAAATGAGGTTGGGCAGTTGCCATAACACATAACAGCGTAAGCAGAACAATGAGGTACCCACTAGGTCTGTAACAGGGAAAGAGTTTCTCCAATAAGAAAAAAGAAACCAGGACAATGGGAAGCTCAGTTCTCAGCCTCCATTATCAGGGGATGTTCTGGGCCCAAGGACCCTGATTCGGTGGTCTTGGTGGGAGTTGGAGAGGCTGCAGCAGACTACCCTCCCAACACTTAGAATAATGCTTGGCACAGAGTAAGCCCTCAATAAATATTAGCCATTTTTACTATCTGTTGATTTTTTTTATACAAGGTTGTGTTGTACAGCTATATGTGCTGTGCACTAGGTATGTAATTTGGGAATCAGTAATGAACAAGACAGATAAACTCCCAGGCAGGGCCTGACTTCAGGGTACTTACAGTCTCTTTAGAAGCTCTGGTGGTGTAGTAGGTAAGGTGTTTATTTGGTTGCTAACCAGAAGGTTTGTGGTTCAAACCCACTAGTTGCTCCACAGGAGGGAGACAATCTACTTCCGTAAAGATTCATAGCCTTGGAAACCCAGTGAAGGTAGCCGTGAGTCAGAATCGACTCAATGGTAGTGGGTTTGTTTT